TTAAAAAAAGACTTATCTCTGTGATTGGTTTCCATATCCTTTCGGGTAGATGGCTAAAAGCGATAGGAATTAAAGTTTCCATGAACACATTTCAATCATGACTTTTCATACCTATCAATTTTCCTTCATTCATATCTGCCCGTTTTCCTAAATTCGAAGCATAGCCCTCTGGCATCCTCAAATTTTTTACCCACTCAATAATTTCACGTTTCTTATCCAATGTGAATGAAAAGTTGGCTTTAGGCTTAACTATTTTGCCATTCTGTAATTCATGTAGCCATAACTCTTTTCTCCTACAATATTCCTTTATGTCCATTCTAGCTTTTGGATTGTCTTTTGTCTTACCCTTAACATCCATCATTGTATTAAACAAATTGTCAAAGTAATTTTTTTCAATGTGCATCACATCTAGATTATGTCGTAGCAGATTGTCCTTCCAATACGGCAACTCCCAAAATATGCTTTGTTTGGTCAAATTATGTTCAACACCATATCCAGAAAGTGTAGAAGGTGAAGCTTCTGTAACTTTAGGTAATTGAGAAACTCTCTCCCAAATTCGATGCCCTGTGAGTAATAGAGGTGGGGGGTCACTTTCAACCTTATTTTTCCTAAATGCATTTTTCATCTTTCTAAACTCATGGTCCATTGGCAAGAACTCGCGATGACAATCAAACAATGTATTTTTTCTGCCATTCTTTTAAGTGAATGCCTTACTATTTTCCATGCAATACGGACATGCTAGCTCTCCAGCTGTCATCCAACCAGATAACATCCCATATGCAGGAAAGTCATTAATAGTTCACATTAAAGAAGCACACATAACGAAATTCTGCTTAGTTGATATATCATAAGTCAAAACGCCTTCAAACCACAATTGTTTGACCTCATCTATCAATGGTTGTAGATAGACATCAATCAAACTTTTTGGATTTCGGGGACCTGGAATAACACAACTTAGAAAGATGTAGGAACTAGTCATGCACATTTCAGGAGGAAGATTATACGGAGTAAGAAATACCGGCCAACATGAATAAGGCGAAGCATTATTAGAGAATGGTGTGAAGCCATCTGAACACAACCCCAATCTAACATTTCTTGGTTCACTAGCAAAATCAGGATATACATTATCAAAATGCTTCCATGCTTCACCATCAGATGGATGAGACAAGACACCCGGCGGCCTTCTATATTCACGATGCCATCTCATATGTGGGGCAGACCTCATCGATGCATACAACCTCTTTAACCTAGGAATGAGAGGTAGATAATGCATCGCCTTAACTAGGACCATCTTTCCAGCCGGAGTCCTCTTATAACGAGTATGTCCACAAAACTTACAATTTTCTAATTCACTATCAGTCTTGTAAAACAACATGCAGCCATTAACACAACAATGAATTCTATCATACGTCAATCCTAACTTGGAAACCAAA